ATGTCAAATCAAATAATGATTTCTCCTACAAATGGTGTAGCAAGTTCAATCTCTGCCAGAGAACATATTTCTTAAGATTTTTTTTTTTTTAAACACACAATCCAATAGACGTAATACACTGTTTAAAATTTAAAAAAATGGGGTGTCTATTTCAAATACGAGTATCCACCATAACGTTTGAAGTAATATATATAATATAATAGTATAAAAGTAATATATAATGATATAGCAGTATAATAGACTTAACTCCTCAGAACTGTTTCAGGGATACAATACTTTTATACTTAATCTTTGGTGGATTACTTTATGAATTATTTATGTACAGATTGTATTTTTCATTTTATTATTAGGAAATGTCTTTTTTATAATGAAATAAGATTTAGGGGGAAATAATTCTATAAATGGCATAAAATTAATGTTTAAGATAAAATTTTGAACTTGTTCAGTTATATTCAACTCCTATGAAATATAGGGGTTAAGTATTAATAGAATAGTGAATTTTCTTTTTGTATTTTAGTATTTCATTAAATTTTAATATTCACAAAACCGATTCAATTGTCTTCACAAACTTTGGGGCAATTCATTTGGAACAAAACACTACTGTTCAAAATCTGTAAATGATGAAAGATTTCCAATTATGTTTTTATTTTATTATTAATAATTTTTAATTTATTTTTCTAATAAATTTATTTTTGCTTTAAGTCACTGTCTAATTCAGTATGCTGTAAACGGTTTGGCAACAGGATATCACAGCTCAGCAATATTCAATTACTCTTTTGAAGAATGCACATCTTCTCAATCCGACCTTCTTGAAATCACAAACTGCTAATTCTTTCATATATGAAATATAAACAGTCATTTCTAAGGAATCAATGTTTTGGGGGGTTTTTGTTTTGTTTTGTTTTTACATTTTTTTGAGAATTTTTCAGTTACATTTACTGCTAATTTATTTATTTATTTATTATTTTTAATCCTTTCACTCAAAGCAAGGCAATAAAGTCACTAAGACACAAGGAGGTTACTGAATGTGAAAGAAAAAGAAAAAACATTAAGAAGCAAGAACACTAAAAGAAAAGGAATCAAGAAGGCAACAGATAACAATTAACATTGCATTTAAACTTGAAGAGTTCCACAAGCAAGACGTGCAAGAGAAACTGTTAGCAAAGAATTTATGGTTACATCTAGCCAATTCAACTGTACTGATTCGATTTAAGGATAATTACAGTTTTTTATAATGGGAGGCTAAAAACGGCTGTGCCTAAAAGGTATAAACACTAAAAAGTGCTCAATACAAAAATCCAAAATAGAAAATGCAGAACCAAAACAATCTAGTCTATTCCACCAACTTATATGACTACAGGAAAAGAGAATGAAAGGTGTAAGCGGGAGGGAAAAGAAAATTCTTTTCCTGTAGTCATATAAGTTGGTGGAATAGACTAGATTGTTCATCCTTCTATTTGCCTGAGGAGACCTTGCAATCAAAACCTGGGTAGCAACAGAGACTGCTTTTTAGTATTTTCGTATATATATATATATATAATTTAAATTTTTATATATATATATATATATATATATATATATAAATTTTATTTATATATATATATATATATATATATATAATTTTTATATTTATATATATATATATATATATATATATATATATTATATAAAATTTTTATATATATATATATATATATATATATATATATATAATTTAAATTTTTATATATATATATATATAAAAATTTAAATTGTAGGCAGGTAGAAATTTAAATAAAATGTGTGAATTATATATGATTTATAAGAAATTAATGGATTTTTTTATGACATTATTTCATTCTACTCCAAATATTTTTAGTAGATCTGTTTTTTTAAACAGTATGAGTTATATCTGTCAACATGTACATTCTGTTTTTCAGCAGTGTTCAAACCTGTGTCCCCCTCTTTTTGTTGAAAAAGCCACTGTCTAATTCTGTAGACTGTTTGGCAACAGAGAATGTCACAGCCCAGCAATATTCAGTTACTCTTTTAAAGAATGCACATCCTCTCAATCCGACCTTCTTGAAATCACATACTGCTAATTCTTTCATATACGAAATATAAACAGTCATTTCTAAGGAGTCAATGTTTTGGGAGTTTTTTTTTTTTTTATTTTACATTTTTTCCTAAAAAACAGTGTCTACTCGAATGCAAAATTAACAAAACATTATGAATAGAATTTGTGGAGAGTTATGACCCCCTAAATCCAGAAAGGACATAACTTTTTTTGTCATTTTATTGCTTGTTTACCCATTGCCATTAGTTTTAGTTCTTTAAAAGCTTTAGAAAAGTTTTAAAACTTTATTTACTTTCTCTACACTATAATTTGAATATGAAATCACAAGGATTGCTCTGTAGATTTAGTTTTTAATTTTTTTTTTTTTTTTTTTTTTTTTTTTTATCTGTCAGGAGAGAACAAGTCTTTCAGGATAAAGAGCACTTTAAGCAGTCAATATTTTATTCAAAAATTGGTGATATTTGTAATAACACCTATTGATATAGATCAAATTATATAATTTAATGTATGTCAAGGTGAACAGATTTTTTGTCAAAATGCTTAATAGATATTTAGAGCAACAGTTGTATCAAAAATATTTTAAAGTTCGGTATACTTATCAAAGATCAATTCAGAATTTTACAATGCTTCTCTCTTCAGGATCCAGAGAAGAATATTCTTATTCGTATCTGGTTTATCTAATTTTCATCTGGATCCTGAAGAGTGACATGTTGCAAAATATTGATCTGATCTTCAATATGTATTCTGAACTTTTTTTTTTTTTGTCTTTATTTATGTCATCAGTCTTGAAACATCAATTTTCCTTTTTACTCCTTTTTTTCTTTCTTTCTTTTTTTTTTTTTTGTAAGAAATATATCTAACAAAATAGGAAAAACAAACAGAACCAATTTACATTATTCAGACTGTTATCCTCATCTTCATAGCCATATTCACAACATTTCAGCTGTTGTATGCTCCAGCCTTCTTCAGGTGATTAGAATTTTATTTCATCCACTGGGGTAGATTGTTAGAGAAATAACTGAGACATTCTGAAGCGGCATGGCAGGTGGAAATAGAACAATCTACCCTGTTGAATGAAATCACCTGAAGAAGGTTGGAGCATACAACAGCCAAAATGTTGTGAATATGGCAATGAGGATAAGTCTGAACAATGTGAATAATCATAATACCTCATCTCAGAGATATAAACAGAAACAGGACCAAGTGGAACAAAAAGCATCACAATGAGTTGATAGAATTACAAAGCATGAATAAAAGTTGAAAATACAAGAGCTTATCTTCCCACCTGACTTTATTTATACTTTAGAAGTCTACCTGCTCATTGTCATGGTTCCATTTGTTTGATTACTTATGGTACTTTGGTTTATATTTGTATAAATGGACATAAAATATAATTTTCAGTAATAATGGACTGAAGATGATGTAAATAAACATTGAAATATAATACAGAACTATCCATGCCTTTTTTTTTTGTTAATCAAATATTGATTACCTACAAAAATTCTTTGGAATTACCTTGAATCTTACATCCTAAATTGGTTTATTTTGCAAAACACAACCAAGAGGATGCTTCTCCCACCAAAAATATAATGTTTATAGCTAATATATATATATATATATATATATATATATATATATATATATATATATATATATATATATATATATAAAAACTCAAACACTAATATTCCATGGTTATAATTTATTACATTGGAATCATAATCACGATCCAATTCATCAATTTAAATTTGTAGGTCTGATGAATTGGATTGTGATTACGATTCCAATGTAATAAATTATAACCATGGAATATTAGTGTTTGAGCTTTTTATATTATATTCTTGCTCTGTCCTGGACATTGAGCACTACCTGGATTCTGTCCACTTGGAAATATATATACACACACTGACCACTAATATATATATTGTAACAGAGAACTGAGTCAGCTTGATGAAAGACTCAGAGTTACATCCACTTCCACAATGGTTTGTTGAGAGAAGACCTTCTATTTAGAGTAGATGGCACTGTCTATTTGCATATGAACAATGGACTGGTATTAGCCAATAGTCAGCATGGGTCTTGGACTGGGTGAGCTATATAACACCAGTGTTTTTCTCAATTAAGAGAGGCACTCTTGATGTGCAAAAACCAGACAAGAAGAATACACACACACACACACACTGGTGTGCAAAAGTTTTGGGTCAACTACATAAAATGATTCTACACGTTTATTAAGATTGTTTATACTTTTATCATTACTGCCTGTGGACCTTGAGGATTAGAAAATAAGTTGTTGCATTTTTTAGGTACCATGTAACAGAAGATAAGCAGCTTGAAGCCAAAAAAACACCATACAAAACTATTGACCTCATGAAAGGCATGAGATAAGGTCATGATAATATGCAAATTTCTAAGTGGGAATTTTTCCATTTTATTAACATGAGTATCAGGTGCCTTTGCAAGTCATTGTAGTTGTCCTTTTTCATTCTATTTCACTCAGTAGCATCTCAAAAAAAAAAAATATATATATATATATCTAACCTGACTGTTGTTATAAGCCGAGTTTTAACCTGAAATTTTCCCCATAATCTATATGATTAATGGAGAATACATTGAGTTAAATGCATTGAAAAGAAAGTAAATTGTTTTAAGAGTAAACATTTGGTAAAATAAAACTTTTTATCATTACATACCATATCAACTGTATAGTCTATGTATATCCCCAACATTATCAAAAGAGTGTTACTCATATTTGTAAAACTGTTTAAAATAACACTATACATGGTATCATTCAATAAATATTGAAAAATCCATGAATTTAAATAAAAGTAATTTGCAAAGAATTTATATGAAAATTGTTTTATTTCCTCCCCCCTTTTTTTTCCTATTTAATTCTATTTTTCTTTTAATTCTATTTTTCTTTTACTTTCAATTCTGATTACAGCCTGGGTTGGATCCGTTACAATTGGTATGACTTTTCTTATGTCGATTTTTGCAAGTATTCTTGCTGATCGAATTGGAATCCGAAAAGTAGGATGTTTTGGCGGCCTCCTCTGTACTGTTGGCCTTGTGTCTAGTGCATTTGTGGAAAAACTTGAACTATTATACCTCACCTATGGCATTTTCCTTGGAATTGGTGGTGCCTTTGTCTACTCACCATCCCTTGTTATTCTGGGTCACTATTTCAAAAAGCATATGGGTCTTGTGAATGGATTTGTTTCCTTTGGTAGTGCCATATTTTCAATTGTATTTTCACAAGTACTGCCTCTGTTGCTTCACCACCTTGAACTGCGTTTTACACTGCTGGTACTTGCCGGCCTGGAATTTAGTTTGATTTTTTGTGCAATGACATGGAAACCTTTGATAATTAAAGAAAGCAACCTTGCCCGTGTCACCATGTCCACAGAAAGTATATATGAACACGTGACCGACTGCTGTTCATGGACAAAAAAATTCCTCAATGTTGATATCTGGACAAATCGTGGATATGTTGTTTGGTCCGTTTCCTGTGCTGTGGCATTGTTTGGTTATTTTGTACCGTTTGTTCACTTGGTAAGTAATTCTTGTTATTTTTTTTTTTTTTTGTTTTTTTTCTATTTCCTCTTACTAGCTGAATAATTTTATGCAAGACTTCTATTTTCTAAAGTCCACTTTAATTTCCTACTCTGATCATAGCTATATGTAGCTGACCATGAGAAAAACATTTGAGTATTTTTTTAATATTTGTATTAATAATTAATTTGGCAAGCTTACTGTTTTTTATTGTTTAAATAATTCAGCACAGTTTTAAAAAAAAAAAAATTAAACCAATTATTTTGACTTATTTAGATAATACCATAAACTTTTTAGACTAATTTGTAATAATGTGAAATGTCGGACAACAACAATGGTTATTATGAATGCTGAAATGAATAAGATCATAACTAATGTTGCTGAGGAAAATTATAGAATTCAATAAAAATTTTAATATTTTAAAAATTTATTTGCTTTAAGTCTGCTGCTTAAAAAATGGATTATATTTTAGAAGCCAGGATTTATTTTACATTTTCTTTAAATATAAATGCTGATATTTTTGTCTGTTTGACTGATATGAAATTTATTATGTATTAACAATATGTGCTGCTTTGTTCTATTGGTGTAAGGTGAGACACACAAACAAAATTTAGCCTTATACAAATTTATAAAAGATTACTAATAATTAGAGTTGTAGGTATACTCTCTGGGTTAAAACAATGGATTTTTATGCTACTAGATTGATAGTTCAGTTTATGTTGCAGTCATTTATGCAATAATGTGTTAATTATACTACTCTGCAAGTTTGCATTATGAAAAACTTATCAGTAAAAACTAATTCTGGGGTAGGTGGACCAGACTGACTATGTCGCTTTGAATTTTTATCCCACAACAAGCTCCTAATAATACTAGATTTATACGAAACTAATATAACACTATTTTCATCATTTATTTTAATATTTATTAAATAATTATAATTATAACAATTATCTTTAATATATAAGATATGTGTAAAGTGTATGAAATGTATATTGGTTTAAAAGAAACCTCAATGGATTCTGTGAGAGGGAGTACAAGATGTGAACTGTGTGGACAATATTGGAAGACGTAAGAGGAAATTTTTTAAAAGAATATAAAACAAATTAGACATAATATTTAATTTAATTTTTTTTATTTTTTAAGATATAAAAGATTTAAAATTCAGCCCACGTAGTGGATTGGTTGTTACGAACACCCAATCAGTCTCTGCTAGCATTTGATTGCAGAGGGAATCTGGGCTTGATCTACACTGATTGGGGTCAGCTTGGTGTTGGGGTCTATTTAAGAGCATATATTAAGAAATAGGTGATTTTAATTTTTTTTTTTTTTTTTTTTTTTTTTTTAAGAGCAAATTAGGAAAAAAATTTTAAGTAGTTTTGTGCAAATAGTTTTTAAACAATCATTGTGTATTTTTTTCAAATGGTTTTATGTATTTGAATTTATTTTTTAATTGATATTTAGTATTAAATGCAATTTTTATGTAACTGAAAAATTGATTTTATGAAGAGTTTTTTAAATAGATTTTTTAATTTATTATTGTTGGATGAATATTTTTCATGGTGTTCTGTTGAGAACCCATGGAGACATAAAGAAAATACAACTATAGTAATAATTTAATTTTAATATTTTAAATATCATTTTCCATTATTAATAAGCATAAACTTTAATACAGTTATTTTAGTGATTTTACTAAATATGAAAATCATCATGAATGATGAAATTTTGATTTCTGAAACAATAACTGTGTTTCAAAATTTATGCTTTTAATCAATTGATTATTTCAGATCCAACTGTATGCAGATTCACTGTGTTTGATTTTGGAAAATTTTTTCTTACATTTGTATCACAAATTTTAAAAACAAAATATTCTTCATTTTGGAAACATTTGTAAAAAAATTAGTCTTCTTGATATTTTGAAATATTTTCTAAAAAAAAAAAAAAAAAAAAAAAATTTTTTGTATCTATTATTTATAGTATACACTATGATTAAAACAAAAATTTATGCAAAACAATATCAAGAGAGATATACAAAACAATATTAAAGAAAAATAATGGAAAAATTATTATTTAATAAAAGAATATTTTATATGTTCAGGTGGCTGGATGAAATGTTACAGTGTGTCAGATTTGGTTTGAGGGCCATAGTTTTACTTTGCCCTTTCACTGTGTTGTCAATTCTAATATTTTTTGTTTTTTCTCGATCTCTTCACAAAATAAATACACTGTTCCCATATTTCAATTAAAATCACTGGATCAGGATTGTCAGATTAGCAAGCCAAATTTTTGTTTCCAAATAAGTTCTAATAAGTAATCTAGCATTTGTCAGCACATTCATTCTTTTGTCTCTATATAACTATCAGGCACCGTCTGTCTTATGGCTACATACTTTGTGCTTCAGCAACTTTGATAGATTTTTTTTTCTTTTTTTTTTTTTTATTGGGGAATAGGCCAATTATATTTATCATATTTTACTGTGTTCTACAGGTTAGCTGTTAACAGGTGTTACTTTTCACCAGAAGTTCCAAAACTGTTATATTACAAAAAGCAATAAATTGGCTTAAACAAGTGTTTGGGAAGATCTTGAAGGATAGCATTAATTTTAAATCCTTTAAATATTCTGCATGAATGCAACTTTTTTTTTTCAAATGCAATGAACTTGAGCTTTATTTGGAATAATATAAAACAAAATATCAATATTTCTTAAGGCATTAAGTCTACATCAAAACTGAAAATGGAACATTAGAACCTAGAATTTACAAGTTTAAAGAATTTGGTTGTGTGATACTATGGACGCCTACGTAGAAAAGGAAGAGGTGGTTTTATCTTGATATCAAGTGTTTCTATTTGATGGACCAGCAGATTGTTCCTTTTGAAGTTCAGTCTTCTAAGCAGCATCCACTTTGACTGAGGGGGAATGGGTAATAAAGGAGTGGATGAGGGTTTTAGAGATCAAGTGGCAACAAAACTGGAAATAGGGGAATATCCAAGTGCTAGTCTATATTAACAAACATGCTTGGGATCAGGGAGAGTTCGGCTCTGCCAATCACCATGTCAGGATGAGTAGATGGGCATGGAGTTGGTAGGGGGAAGAGCTGAACTGTTGGACCAATATAGCAGATGTATCACTGAAACACATTGCCTTGAATGTCTATTAGGACTCAAGCTAACTTCAAACTTCAATTGGTGGCCACAATGTTAACAGCAAAAGATACACAGATTATACAGTACTGATAGCAGACATGGAAAAGAAATTACAAAATCTCCTACAGAATGTAGCAGCAGAGAGTAAGAAGAAAGGACTAAGCATAAACTACAAGAAGACAGAATGCATGGCCATCAATAAGAGGAAGAGTCTGAAATGCAATTTGCAGGTTGGGAACACTATAATCAAGCAGACATGGAAGTTTAAATATCTGGGAAGCGTCTTGACAGAGGATGGTAAGTGCGACACTGAGTTCTGTAGACGTATTGGGATGGCCAAGGATGCATTTCAAAAGCTGGGCAGAGTAGTGCAAGACAGGAGGATTTCTTTGGTAACAAATAAAAGAATATGTGACATCTGTCCTTCTTTACGACAGCAAATGTAAGACGATTTCTTCAAAGATGAAGAAGAAACTCAAGGTGACAGATGTGGTTCTACAGAAGGATGCTGAGGATATAGACCAAGTGTGTGAGCAACAATAAGGTCTTTGGTTGCAAACAAGGAGGAAGAGGCTTATACTTAACATCAGGAAGTTTCTGGGACATGTAATGAGGAAGGAGGGTCTGGAGAATCTTATACTCATGGGCTGAATAGAGGGAAAGAGAGACAAGGGAAAGCAATGTGTGACATACCTGGTGGGCTTAAGCAAATAGATGACAGAATGTGGTCTGGGGGAGATGGCAGGAGGATAAAACCTATTGAGATCCACAAGAGATAGGCGGGGAGTGGAGAGCCATGATCGTCTACATCCTGAAAGGACATGGTACATAAAAAGAAAGATATCTGAGCCATTGTTAAAGATGCTGGTGAAAATAGTCAGTTCTTTGTACTGCTCCAAAAATTATCTGGCTTCTCCAGCCATTTTCTATCTTTACAAGAGTTAGGGCAAACAAAAAAATGACGTATTACCATCATATCTAGGCTGGAGTGTTCAGCCTTGACAGAGTTCAAAAGTGATTATGTGGGCTTGTGGGTGATGAATTATTTTCCACCCTACGACTCCCCTCCTATGGATGCAACATTGCAAGACACTCACTATTTTGTCATTATTTTCATGGCAAATGTTCAGATCGACATTCCTTATTTCCATCAGTTCAGATATTTGTTCACAGTTAGGATCAATCATGTCATGTACACAAGATCAGCTCACTTTCATTCTCTTCATATTCCAATGTTAAGGAGGAAGTTCCACTTAGACAATTTTGTCTAGGCTCAACAATTATATTCTACATATCTTCATAACATGCACTTCTTACTTTCTCTATTTATGCCCTTATAGGGACTTCAGTAAGTAACCCTCTAACTTGAGTGGTTCTTGGGCCTTGCATCTGAACAATAGTATAAATAAATAAAATAAAAACTGATACAAATAATGTAAGCTCAGCTAATATTAAATTTAGTTGATGTCAAGACATTTGAATGATGCTCTCTTTGCCGCACATGCACCCTATTATGTCCATTTGTATATTTGTAAAATCCATAACCTATATCAAGATATAAATAATCTGTAAACAAAATTAGAATTTGAGCCTAAGATACAAAAAAAAAAAAAAAATGGCTTATTCTTTATTTTTCCCACCAATTAAATCTTAATTTTGGCATCCTCATTGTTTTTTGTACTCACTTGGAGACAAAATGTCTGAAATGTGTTTATTCTTCAACTGGGAGAAATATATCCTGCATTGTTGAACAAGTTGTTTATATGATCTTTGTCATATAAGTAGGATAACCTATGATATCACAGGTAAGATTTATTAAACAAGTGTGTCAAAACTTTCATTCATTCCTATAATTATAT